AATCTCTAGGTAAGCTAAGCATCTCATCATCTTGGCTCTTTGGCCTTCACTGTCCAAAGAGATATAGAACTCCTCAATCAAAGTCAGCTTTGTCTTTTACAAAAGGTAATTTCACATGCTGGCCTTGTATTGGCTAGATAAAGTGGTTTGCCATTCCTCCTAAGGAAAAAGAACTAGGATCTTGTTATGAAACTCAAAGTAAATATGGATTTCGTTCTTTTCTAACATACACAAAGTCAAGGAAAAGCAATGACCCAAGCATTTTAGAACAAAACATAAGATACAGGGTTTTCTGCAGGAAAGTAATTATTTATAGATACAAAAACTAAGACTTAAAAAAAAGCATTGTCAGAAGAATATTATCACTTTAATTTCTTGGTTAGAAAATCTGAACGGAGGAGGGTTATCAATCATAACTACATAAAATGTAAAAAGAAAAAAAAAGAAAAAGAAAATCAATTGCATGAATTCCTTGCCACTGTCTCCCACTCCTCTTCTTCCTCCCTGCACCCATTAACACAAAATAATGCACTTAAAAGGATGTATACTACAGGAATAATTAGTGTTACAAAAGGGCTATCAATCAGACCATTACACATTTTTGCAAAGCAAGAAAATCAAATCTCACCCCGGTGTTTTGAAGATTCCATTTTTTTTTCCTCTCAAAAATGGTAAATGCCAAAAGAAAATGCTAACCGTCACTCCTAAAACATGCTCTTTCTGCAGGGCGACAGCGGCTCAAGCCTATAATCCTAGCTACTCAGGACGCTGAGACCCGAGGATCATGGTTCAAAGCCAGCCCAGGTAGGAAAGTCTGTTGAGATCTTATCTCCAATTAACCACCAGAAAACTAGAAGTGGCACTGTGGCTCAAGTGGTAGAGTGCTAGCCTTGAACTGAAGAGCTGAGGGAAAGGGCCCAGGACCCGAGTTCAAGCCCCATGACTGACCCCCCCGCCACCAAAAAAGTTCTTTCTGATGTTTAGGGAACTTAAGATCCACAGCAGAAATGGCATTATGTCATTATCCACTCAATGCTTGAACCTAAACTACCAAGTAACCACTTATCTTCATTGACAGCAAGCTCTATCAACTTCATAGGAAAGTACAACATGCATAAGACAAGAAGAGTCAGCACCCAGTCTCAATAGTATACTGAGCAACCTCCAGGAATTCAATTTCCAAAGTGATTTATTACGCTGTAGAAGACAGGATTCAAACAAAATCCACTACATACCAAAGATGGGTAAAAGAAATGATTTTTTCAAAGAACTATTAAAATTCACTCTTTCTATTTAACTTCCTATATTACCCTACAAAACTGCTAGAAGCACATACTAACACAAGGGTGGGGAATATCATTTGGTATACAATGGGACAGGCACATATGTTTCTTGAATACTTCTTGGTGGCTGTCCATAAGCATCTACCTGTATTGGTAATTTTATATGACACAGAATGATATTATACATATCCAAATGGCCTGTGGAGGCTGAGGGTGGGGGGAGAGGGGTGGGATGTTCAGGTGTGGGGCGCATTGCAGAAATGTTGAAAGCTACACTACAAAGCTCTCCTCCTATGTGTGATCCAAGTCACTTCAGGCTTGTCTAGACACCAGCCTCACTTTTTCAACATTATTCTGGATGTCCCTGTTACATTTCACTAGAACACTGATTCTGAAACTTCTTTTTAACCCAAATGAAATGCTATAATGAATCCTTAATTCAATGTAACAACATATGTAACATATTAATAATTACAAAAATGGATAAATTTCCCTCAAGCTAACCCTAAAAAGGAGGGCTTTCCCCCACCTACTATCCTGGAGGGTTAAAGGATTGTTTTATATTCCACTGCCAAGCAACACAACAGTTCTGCAGCAGTGTCACCTTGGAGAGGCATTGTCAGTTAGGCAGAAATGATCCTGAGAGAATAAAGCTTACTCACAACTTAGGTCATCATGATGGTCAGATCATAGCCACAAGTGGGGTTGATGAATGTGTATGTGTGTGTGTACGTGTGTGTGTAAAAATTTATAGTAGAAAGTGATAACATTCATAACCACAGATTCATTCCTATGAATGTTAATGTCAGGTGGATGAAATGTGATTGTTCCATATATCCCTGAAAATACGTGTCCTATGAGGATTCAATTATCAAACTGGAGCAGGGGCAATGTTTCATATGAACTATATAGTAAGTTCATCACCAAAATATTTCATCAAGTGTTTTTGAAAACAGCAATGTACAAATGTACACTGGAAGAACTGTACTATATGGGGCTGGGAAGATGGCTCAGTGGTAGAGCGCGTGCCTTGCATGCCTGAGGCCCTGGGTTCGATTCCTCAGCACCACATAAGCAAAATGAAAAAAAGCCGGAAGTGGCGCTGTGGTTCCAGTGGTAGAGTACTAGCCTTGAGCTAAAGAGCTGAGGGCCAGCGCCCAGGCCCAGAGTTTAGGCCCATGACCGGAAAAAAATAAATAAATTAAAAAAAAAGAACTGTACCATACGTGCTAATTAATCACAAATCAAATAGCATCTTCTAATATACAGTGGTGCAGAACAAAGATATGAAGGTAGAAGTTCATACAGGCTCAGAGTATATTATGTGTTAAAAAGATACTTCACAAGGCAGGAGCTGGTGGCTCATAGCTATAATCCTACCTACTCAGGAGGCTGAGAGGATCATGGTTTGAAGCCAAGACTGGTTAGAAAAAGATCCAAGACACTGTCTCCAAAACAATGGGTAAAAATCTAAGCTAGAGGCATGGCTCAAATGGTAGAGTACCAGCTAAGCAATTAAACAACAACAACAACCCCATAACAAAAAACCATGAGAGAGAAACTAAACTTGAGATATTCATCTAAACTTTCACTGAAAACCATGAGAGAAACTAAACTTGAGATATCCATCTAAACTTTCACTGAAACAAGGAGAGAAGGTGAATCACTGCAACAATGATACCCACAAGGTACTATATTAGAAATGAACTTTCCAACTTTGGGGAGGGGAAGGGGAGTAAGGGAGGTCAGAAGGGAAGGGATAATGGAAGAACAACAAAGGAGGGATTAACAATTCTTGACAAGAAACGTACAAGAAATTACCTTACTCATGTAACTGTAACCCCTCTGTACAGCATCTTTACAATAAAATGATATTAAAAAAAAAATAAAATGTTTAGGCTCAAAAACCATTAGGTATCTACACACAGCTAACCTCCATTCCTTCTAACTTTCCACTAAGCTCAGTTCATTTCCAAAATGTAATTATGTGTCTAGATTGTTTCAACAACTCAGAATATGTCACAGAAGCTCAGATCCTGGGAATTTCTTTTACACTTCAATTTCATAAATTAACAAGATTCTAATAAAGTCATAAAGACAATAATCCAGTGAAACATCAAATATAAGAACAGGCCCAGATCTGGTGGCTCACTCCTGTAATCCTAGCTACTCAGGGGGCTCAGATTTGAGGATTGTGGTTCAAAGCCAGCCCGGACAAGAAAGTCCATGAGACTCTCCAATTAACCACTCAAAAAAAAAACCAGAAATAGCAGCTCTGTAGCTTAAAGTGGTAGAGTGCTAGTCTTGAGCAAAAGAGCTAAGGGACAACTCCCAGGCCCCAAGTTCAAGCATCAGGACCAAGAAACACACACGCACACACGCACATGCACTAAAATGAAATATAAAAAAAAAAGAAAGGGGAAATAACAAACAAAATATGAAATAGGGCAGCTACTACCAAGGTATTTTTAAGCACCCTGTTAAAAATACTATATAATGTCACTATCGCTATGCTTGAAACCACAAACTCATAAAATTACCAGGACCTACAGCTTGGCGCCAGTGGTTCTACCTGTAATTCTATCTATATAGGAGGCTGAGATCTAAGGCTCCCAATTCAAAATCAGACAAAGCAGGAAAGTCCATGGCATTCTATCTCCAATGAACCACTAAAAAGCTGGAGCTGTAGTTTAAGGGGTATAGAGAACTAACCTGGGGGGCGGGGAAAGCTCCTGGAGACAGTGCCCCAGGACAAGTTCAGACCCCAGTACAGCACATCCAGAAGGAAAGAAAAAAAAGAGAGAGAGAGAGAGAGAGAGGAAGGAAGGAAGGAAGGAAGGAAGGAAGGAAGGAAGGAAGGAAGGAAGGAAGGAAG